CTAGGGAGTGACTGCTAATGAGTTAGTTGATGCATGGCTGTATAAGCAAGTTACCTGACCTAAAAATGGGGATGATATTACCTTTCTCTCAGGATTGCTAAAATTAAATACCCTGATATAAAGCAGTTAGTACAAAGTCGCACATAGTGAGTATTCAGTAGATATTCACAAGTACTATAACTGCTTTAACCAAACATTTGTTGCATATATAGGATGTGTTAGAAGACAACTATTGTGTTGTGTGAATGCGGAGGTGGGTGTGAAAGTGCATGGGAGAGTAAGGGAAGCTTCACAGAGGAGGTGACATTGAGCTGGATTTGAAGATCACCAAGTCAGAGGAATGAGGGAAAGAAAGAACAGCATCCCAGGAACAGGAGTCTGAAAATGCACATGTTCAGAAATTTTAAGGAGTTTATAGTAGGTCCAGCCCAAAGTACAGAATCACCATTTGGGCCCTAAGTTATTAGAATTGGGCTGAGGTGTGTGTGTTTGGTGGGAGGGGACACCCATTATGTCTTTAAAATATATATATCAGGTACCATTTTAGACATATAGTTGATTCACAATAAATGTCAATGATATGTCTTTGTTTTTCTTTTTCTTTTAATCCCTAATCAGGTTATATGATAACTGGCATTCAAGATATAATGAGTAGGTTCTCTAGAATTCAAACAGGAGCCAGGTGAGGTAAGCGTTACCAAGGTGTGGAGAATAACAAGTAGAAACAGTAATGTTCTGGGCCCCAAAGGCATGTCCTTCAGATAAACTGTCTTGACATCCAGAATTAGTTTATCCCAATGATAACTATATTGTATAAAAATACACAAGGTTTTTTAGCTGTGCTCTTTGCAGGAAGAATTTTTATCTATTGAGTACTTGCTATTGTAAGACTTTGTACTAAGTGCTTTATATCAAAATATTTAATTCTAGCAATCCTGAGACAAAGGTAATATTACCAATCCCAATTTTTAGGTTCGATGACTTGCTCACAGCCATGGAACGAGTCAGAAGTGGATTAAAAACCAGATCTGCCAAACTCCTCTCTCATGATCTTAACCACCGTGAAATGGGGCTTTCGGTTAAAATGGTAAATTTTCTTATGTATATTTGATGACACTAATAAAGAACAAAGAAAAAAACAAAATATCTAAAACACAAGCAAATGATAGTGCAAAGGTTCCTAGAAAAAAGTGAGTCCAGATCCAGTCAAGATGGCAGAGTAGGTAAAGGCTGTGCTTACCTCCTCTCACACCCATATCAAAATTACAATGAAACAAACACAACAAACTTCACTGAAAATTGTCTGAAGTCTAGCTGAACCAAAGCCCTAAAACAAAGGACATACAAAAGAAGCCACCTAGAGACTGGTAGGAGGGTCAGAGACACGGAACAGGCTGGTCCCACACCTGCATGTGACCATTAAAAATCGGGAGAGGTAACTCCCAGAAGAATGAGGGGTCCCAGACCCAAGCCAGGCTCCCCAGCCCAGGGTCTCAGTGCTAGGGGAGAGAAATCCCCATAACTTTTGGCTGTGAAAACCAGCAGAGATTGTAGCTGAGTAAGATAAAGGGTGGCTGCACTCCCAGGTGGTCCTCTTAAAGGGCCCACACACAGACATACTCACTGGCAGACTCACTAACTCTGAGCTTGAGAGCCAGGGACATACAGGGAGCAACTGAAGTGTCTGGCTGCAGGGCAAGGACTAGAGCGGCAGCTTTCTCCTGATGGAGGAGCTGGCGGAAGCCATTATTTCTTTGTTAGGCCCTCTCCTCTCCTGGCATGCAGACACACAGTGGCGGCTGCCATATCTGAGTCTTCATCAACCTGGCTAAACCATTNTATATCCCTAAAACCTGGGATTGAGATCAGAAAGTACCTCTTATCAGAACAGGTTCAATATAAAATGGATAAACCCAGGATATCTTCTTAAGATGACTGACTAGGAAGATCAATATTTCATAAAACAATTTGTAATCTAAGAGGCAGGCTGGTGTGGAAAAAAGAACATAAACTTTGGAGTCAAAAAGAGCCAAGTTTGAATTCCAGCTCTGTCACTTTCAAACCGTGTGACCTTGGACAAGTTACTTGATCTGAGTCTTAGTTTCCTTATGTGTAAAACAGAAGTAATATACCATCTTACAAGATCAAAAAAACATTTATAAAGCTAAGGATTTAGGATAGTTTGAAACATAATACTTAATAGCTTGTGGTTATTAAATTATTACCATATCAAGAAAAGCTTCAAGTGACTATAATAAGGAGTATTTACAAGCAGAAGACTAGATTATGAATAGTTCATCTATGTTTTTCCATCACTGTCCAGTGAAGGACTCTGTGATTCTAATGACAATGCCAGTTATCTGCACAAAAAGTTCCCATTACGGAAAAAGAGTACTACACACACTAGGATGTAAGAGCTTAATGCAATCCACTTTTTGACAATATGCGGTATTATTTTCCAATTCCATGCTGCATTAGTTTCCTAGGACTGCCATAGTAAAGTAGCACACACTGGATGGCTTAAACCAACAGAAATTTATTCTCTCACAGTACTGGAGGCTAGAAGTACAAAATCAAGGTGTTGACCGGACCATTCTCTCTGAAAACCATAGGGAGGCGTCTATTCCATGCCTTTGTCTTAGCTTCCGGTGTTGCCAGCTATCCTTGGCATTCCTTGGCTTGTTGATGCACTCCCCTCCAATCTCTGCCCCATCATCACATGGCTGTCTCTGTGTCTCCTCTTCTTATAAGGACACCACTCACATTAAAGGACCCATCCTACTCCCATCCATCTTAACTAATTACATCTGTAACAACCTTATTTCTAAATAAGGCCACGTACTGAGGTTCTAAAAAGAGCATGAATTTGGGGAGCACACTATCCAATCCAGTACGCATGCTCACCAAGTAAACTTCTGGTATGCCATATGCTCTCCTCAGTGGACCTCCCTACCAAGAGCACATGCCTTCTGCAAATGACCAGTACCAACTAGCCTCCCAGGTACACCTGCCAAGGTACAGTACAAATTTGGCATTCTAGCCTATAAACCATCACCTTCTGAGTCTGGTTAAAGAGACTTGGCCAGCCCTTTGTGAGTGAAAATCTACTTCCTGCATTTGCAAATGTAGAGACTAGGTCCCAGGTTCCTGGAGACCCAATCAAATCACAGATATTTCCTAAAGCTTGGTCTACCACTACTTCAACCACCCAACCATGGTCATTCAGGGTTCTCAGCATTTACCTGAACTGCTCATCATCTAAGAGAGGCTTCTGTGCACTGAGGTATCTTCTAATAGTGTCTTCAAGTTTGGGAACAGGCAGCCTGAGAAGAAAGCAAAGTCGATATAAGTTAAGAGTGACAATATGCAGAACGGGTTAATTAACTTCCCAACCTAAACAAATAAACTGATTACAGTAAGTCCCCAACTTACAAACATTCGAGTTGCGAACTTTCACAGATATGAACAGACCCTGCATTACGAACATTCGTAGATGAGAACAAATTGCGCAAGTAGCTCACGTCTGCTGGATATTGTCACAGTTGTGCTGTGTGCTTACTGTACAGTGCGATAGTGTACAGGAGTATAGTGCTCAATCAGAGCCCAGGATGTCCGGAAGCAAGAGGAAAAGCAGTGGTGATG